TTTATTTATTTATTTATTTATTTATTTATTTATTTATTTATTTATTTTTTCTGAGACAGGGTTTCTCTATACAGCCTTGGCTGTCCTAGACTCACTTTGTAGATGTGGTTGGCCTTGAACTCATAGAGACCTTCCTGCCTCCACCTCCCCAAATGATGAGATTAACGGTGTGTACCACCACCACCTAGCTCTGAGGCGATGTTTTACCCAACACTATGGATCGAATCTGCTTCCGCAAGACAAAAACAAACAAACACTTTTCATTTAAAAGTTATTGTGGTTATGGTATTTTATCATGACAACAGAAAAGTAACTGATATCTGAAAATCTAAAATTTTAAGTATATAATAGAAAACTGCACCTCACATGCTTTCTGAGAAAACTTATGATTGTAAAGGATCAATGATCTGATTCTAATCTGTATCTTCTGTACCTTAATGCTACTCAATATATCAAAATAAAAATAAGTCATTTAAAATCAACAAATCATCTATTGTATATAGTAATGTTCAGGGAGACTGTGTAGTGTTACCTTTGTTTCTACTTTACTGGGAAAGAATGACTCAAATCTCTGCATTTCCCTTCAACATTTATTTTTTACTAAAATAGTTTTCCCTTCTATTCATGTAGATATATAAGACAAAATATATGAAAAGGAAATCTATTAGAATTTTTAACTTTAAAACACCCTGATACTGGTGATAATCTCAGAAAAAGATTCCTCTTTCCAATTAGAAAATGTACATTGTCAATTCATACTGGCATCACTAAATTAACACTTGCCCCTGGTACGCTGTTTATACATGTTATTATTTCAAAGACTAAAATTAATTGAAGAAATGCAAGATTTTGAAATATATTTATAGCATAAAGAATTGTAAACACCTAACTAATTAAATAGTGTTTCCCATAAAATGATTTAAAGATTCTTCTAGATAGTTGGCATATTTACATATGTTGAATTAAAATTAGTAAACATAATAAGGCTAAATTCAGTTGGAAACAGCCACAGATACATTCTACATCTGTAAACTATATATAGTTATTCTCAGCTATTTTTACTGTCATCTCTCATTTCTTTTTTATTTATTATTGTTTATAATTTATACACTTTGTATCTCCTCTACTCCACTGATAGGAGTGGTCCCCCTCCCCTTCTATTTGACCCTAGCCTATCAGGTCTCATCAGGACTGGCTACATTGTCTTCCTTCTCTGGCCTGGTAAGGCAGCACCCTGCAGGGTGAGGTTATCAGAAAACCTGCTGCTGAATTCATGCCAGAGAGAGTCCCTGCTCTCCTCACTAGGTACCCAACTTGGAAACTGAGCAGCCTATGGGCTATTTCTGAGCAGGAGTTCTAGGTTATCTCCATGCATAGCCATTGTTTGGAGTATCAGTCTCCACAAAGACCCTTGAGCCAAGATTTATTGGTTCTGTTGGTCTCCTTGTGGAGCTCCTGACCTTCCAGATTTTTCTATTTCGTTCCTTATAGGAGTGATGGAAGAATAAATTGTGTAATAGCTAACAATGAGTGAATGGTCATTCTGAGGTTTTTTTGGCTAAAACCTGTAGATAGTGACAAATAGGAATCTTCATAAAGAGAAGTGAAATATGTAAAACCAAAAATAACCACTGTGAAACACCAAGTTTTCATCAGCAATAAACTATCCAAATCTCTTCTCTATTTCTATTACATCTAAGTTTCTAAACTGTCTGATGACTTAAAAGTACTGGGCTGCAGTTTGTGGATTTGTATTATTTTTATTATATGGTCTGATATCTAAACATAATTCTCAGTTCTTCCATATATTACTATAGAGTTAAAAAATAAATCATTATATTTGTGTTCCATGATTTTTGATAATATAATTTGATGATTTTCTTTATATAATTGCTTTAAAGTAATACAAGGGGTTTGGCATTTTAAATCATAGTATATTAGTCAGTATTTCTCAGGTTTTACTATTTCTCAGGTTTAACATACATTTCCATGTGTAAATAAGGTGTGTGTTTTATTTTATTTGACTCAATATATAGTATGTACAGAACTGGGCAATTGAAACATTTCAAATGGTAATTTGTTTAAGTATTAGTATTCAAAATAACATATCATAAGACAACTTTTGCTCTCTTATTTAAGTGGTTTTACCATGTAAATAGTTAAAACTTGCTTATTGTAAACACATGTCACTAAATAATAGGAGACATATTCTTAACTACAAAGTAGATGCACAAGCTACTCTTTTCTAATCATGCTAGGCATTTGATAAATGGAAGTAATAATTAAATGGGCTTATTTCTGAATGTAAAATTGGAAAAAATTATCCACATACATTTTTATGTGCAATAAGATATAACTGTTGGTAATTCATCACATGACATATATTCCCATGCATTTAGAAAAGCTTTATACACAAGGTTCTCAATGTAAACTGAAAAAAAAGGGGAAAAAATGAATGAAAAACACGGTGTTTAGAAATTCCATTTAGTAGTAAAACTAGTTGTGTACCACATGGTGGAGGCAGACACTCACAGATCTTCAGGATCAGCATCTCTCAGAAAATCTGTGTATGCATATATTTTTTTTTCTGTTTCTCATTGATGAACTAGAACAAGAATGTGATTTCTGACAGGAAACACAAAGCCTAATAATCTTTAAATTGGCACTGAACTATGAACTACAGTTAAAAAACGTATTTATTTTTCTGCCTGATATAAAAAAAAAAATTCAAATCCATTCCCACCACAAACACAAACCTATGAAAATATAATTTTGCTGACGTTCTAAGTGACCCCGTTTCTAAACACGGTACTTAAACTCTTTTAATATAATTTTATTTATATTAAAATTTATTTATTTTTATTTCATGTATTACAACCCCTACCCCAGTTTTCTCTCTCCCTCCTTCTCCCAGTCCTTCCACCTTCCTTCTCTTTCACATCCACTGCTCCCTCATTTTCCTTTAGGAAAGAGGAGGCCTCCCAGGGATTTAAGATTAACTAAGGCATAACAAGATGCAAAAGGGCTAGACACAATACCTCATATCAAGGCTAAACAAGACAAAGCAGCAGGAGGGAAATGTTCCCAAAAGCAAGCAAAAGAGACAGAGACACCCCCACTCCCACTGTTAGGTGTATCATAAGGAAAAAGACATATGCAGTTTAAATTCTTATTTCATAAACAGCTCTACGCTTCAACTCTCTCTTCAACAGGAGCTTTAGCTGGACCTTTTGGAAATGCAATCTTCCAATTAATTTTAGGGCTTGATAACTTTGTGACAGAAAACAATGTATTTATAGTTATTATAAAAAAAGTTCAAATTAAATAATGTTTTTAGGTGCTTTGTATTCTTTGATGTTACATATGATTACTCGCAGTTTCAAGAAATCTTCAAAAGTTAAGTGGAACAAAACACATGAAAAATTTATTTAAACTTGTTTGGATTCTAATGCTTTTCTTAAAATATTTTTTGTATATTAATTTAACTGGGATGTTATATAGCTACTTTTCAAATGCTATATATATATAAGTATGTATGTATATATGTATGTGTATGTCACATATATGAGTGTGTGTGAGTATATATATATAATTTTAAAAGTAGCTATTTGAACCTCCTAGCATATTTCTCATTTAAAATTTTAAATAATAATATGCATGTGACTATACATACATTTACATGTTAATATTTAATTTACCATATAAAATCTACTAGGATATGCAATTTACTTATATAACTCCAATTAATATATGATTCATTTCTACCTTAATTATCATTTTCCAGGAAATGAAATTAGAAACACATCTTAATTTGCATTGACAGCATGGCAATATGCAAGTTTGTGCACATGTGCACAACCAGTATGATCAAAAGTAACAAGGTGAATATTTATTTCATCTGTATTGTTAGCTACTTATAGCATATTAATATGAAATCAGAAATAAATTTTAGAACTCATTCCCTTTATAACAACTATGAGTTGGTGACAAATGGTTAAGAATACTGCTTTATTTTCGTGCCATATAAGTACTATGGTTTTCCTCAAGGTGGAGGACAGTTTTGAAACATTTGTGAATAATGAAGGTCAGTTCTCCTGGGTTTCATTGGCCCTATTTGTAATCAGTGCACTGTATAATTTAGAAAATAATGTGGGCATTATAACATGGACTTCTTTAAGCTCTCACTTCCAAACAGTAAAACAAAAAAAAAAAAAAAAAAGAAAGAAAGAAAGGAAGCCTCTTCACAATTAATTAAATAATACCTAACTATGAAAGCCAACAGCATCTTTATGGGGTAAAAACATTAAAAATATTAAAAAATTAAAACGAATATTCATTCCCAGTTTGCTCTACTTGCCTGGGCTTCCTGGGGCATTTGAGCTGCGTCCACCTTGTGAGCAATATAAGCTGCCAACTGCTTGTCAGTGCATTCAAGGGAGTCCTGAATTAAGTTCAAGGATTTTTCAATCTCCTGGGCAGACTGGATACTCTGTTCAAGCAACTTTTGTTTCCTCACAGCCTAAATAAAAGAAGAAAGTAGAATGAATTACTTAAATACTTGCTGTTACAATATTTTCTACATTTCTGTTCCACAGTCAGTAAAGAATCTAGACTCTTCCACAATCACCTTTTTGTAAGAGAGATTGCGCAGTTTGGGGGCACTCATTCAGCTCCACTTATATAAATATAATGAAAAGAAAAGAAAAAAAAAGAAAACAGCACTTAGGACATAGGATCAGAGGTGTCCACAGAAACAAAAGTCACAGTATCATGCACACCAAAGGAAGAAGCTAGAATAAAACATTAGCAAAATCATCTCAGTTGTTGCAATCTGTCCTTCTCGGGCTGAATGTTCCTTCTGATCTCATTATATAGTTCAAGAGATTTGGTTTACTTAGAATAGGGTCACCGTCATCACAATCCAATTCAAGACAGATAATCCACTTCCACCACTGATACACATATACAATCTGTTCAGAATCGGCTCCTTTCTAAAAGAGAAATTTAGATAGCCATCTGTTTAAGGGTTTAATTTGAATACAATTTTTATTACAGTTTCCCCTTCCTTCATTTCTTTACAATTTGTATTATGGAAACTGTAAAAATGAATTTGTACCGAAGCTAAACAACAAGAGACCCTAGCGAAGAGGATTAATCCTTATTCAGAAGGGCAAACGCGATAGACATTGGAAGTAGAAGACAGGAAACAGGACAGGAGCCTTCCACAGATGGCCTCTGAAAGACTCTACCCATCAGGATATTGAAGCAGATCCTGAGACTCATAGCCAAACTTTGGACAGAATGTAGGGAACCTTATAGAATAACTCCTTTAACGTTTATTTTAAAAGTAAAAGAATAGATAAGGTGGAACATTATATAAAATCTTTAATCTATTTCTATTAAAATATTCTCTCTATGATTGATGACCGAGACCTTGGTGTATACTCTAATTAAAATAATTCCATTTATTTCAGTCAAAACATCAATCAAGTTGCTTCCCACAAAGGTTCAGATAACAGTGATCATAATTATAAGCAGAGCCTTCTGCTTCTGTAGGGAAGTCTTTAGCCTACATTGAGTTTCTCCAGACAAAGGGGTCTCTAACTAATGTCACAATGTCAGCATTCTGATAAGTACATACAGAAGTGTTCCAGGCACAGTAGGAATTAATTATCTTATCAGACATTGTTTAAATGTGGCCCTTTTTCCTGACTGAATCCAAACCCAGCATACTTCAAATGTTATTATAATTGAAAAGGATGGAATGTAGCTGGTTTCTAAATTATGTCACTGGGCTAAAATTTAGACTTCTAAATCTAACTTTGTTTTTCTTTCTTGAAATTATACAGCTGCATGAGATAGTATAACCTAAAAGATGATGGCAAATGATCTGAAGTGGGTTGTTTCTTAGCCTAGCTTCCTTGACAGCCAGTGTAAGAGTGATTACAAGGATTTCTTGATTATCTCAGGCAGTGAAATACTTGATGTAAATCCAGGCTTTGAACCAGTCATGGCATAAGCTGGTTTCTATTTCTAAACATCTTATTACACAGACCCCAATTGGATGCCAGTACTCTTTGCAACAATTGACCTGTTATTACACTAAATGGAGTTAGTTGGAACTCCTAAGCCATAATCCTTATTTGTTTTGGTCTGAAAACAATGCCCATCTGTTGTTTTAAAATGTTATTTCCTAACTTTGCCTAATCTACACAGCAATAACAAGAATCCTACAGATCAACAGAAATAACAATTAGGTGATTTAGAAAGACTATGTGAGGATAAAAACAAAATTCTAAGAAATGATGTCAGGAAATGAAGAAACTTAGTCCTTGTTTTTCTTTTTGCAAATGAAAGTGCAAAAAAAGATATGTTGAATTTATTTTTAAGAAAACAATATTTTAAACATATTATTTGAAAGTGTACTCGAAGCTAGGGGAGGGGCATATGGGGAGAAAAGGAGAGGAGGGTGAGACTGGGAGGAGATGAAGGAGAAGCTAAAGCCTGGACACAAAGAGAATAAATTTTAAAAATAATAACAACAAATATAAAAAGTGTTCTCCAATATAAATGCTTTCAAACTAAAAATTTAATGCTTTGTTTGTGCTAGAAAGATAATTGAACTGATTATCACTCAGATTCTCATATAGTTCCCTTTTATGTAACAGTATGATAAAACACTTAAGAAACTCCTTTGGACTAAATGGGTAAGAAGAAAATCATTGGGTAGAAAGTTGGTGTGGGTAGTGGCATGACATGGATATTACTAAATAAGTTAGAGAAACAAGTGGGTTGTGAATATGATCAAAATAATTTTGTATAAACTTTTCGAAGAATAAAATAAATTATTTTTATAAAAGAAAGCCAAGAACAATAAATTCATTGTGTGAAATCACTAAGAATTGGAATGAAAATATATTTGAAACAAGAAATATAAATATAAGAAAATATATTTCAAAAGAAAACCAAGTCCAATAATATTTTATAGAACATAACTTTTAAAGAAATGGTGTATTGAATTTATCAAGCTCAACATAAAATATGCAATATTCATCTTTGACAGAGGATAAAAGCTCATGACTGAAAATTAATTTTGAAAATAAACATATTCATCATTAAAACAGTATATTCTGTGAAAATTATAATCTACATTTGCTAATACTAAATATTCTAGTTATTCTTAAGTATTAAGTTATACATTTTGTCCCCTTCTATGTAGGAAGAATGCGATCAAAGTATGACCAGATCATTTATTATTAGGAGATAGGATATTTTCAAACATACCTTAAAAAGCAGAAAAACAAATCTAAATGGTATGTGCTACATAATATGAAAACAATTCTTTTTTTATAATTATTATTTTTTATATTAATCTCAGGTTATTACTTTGAATCCCAGCTCTAGCCCCCTCCCTCATTCCATCTTAATCCCACCCTCCCTCCTTCATCTCCTCCCTGCCCCTTTCCAAATCCACTGATAGGGGAGGTCCTCCTCCCTTTCTATCTGACCCTAGCTTATCAGGTATCTTCATGACTGGCTGCAATGTCCTCCTCTGTGAGCTACCAGGACTGCTCCTCCCTCAGAGGGTAGGGGGAGTCAAAGAGCCAGCCATTGATTTCATGTCATCAAAGGAGATGCTGACACTCAGAACCAAATCTTTGGCAGGGTGCAGGGAATTATATGAAAGAAGGGATAGTTGTATGACCTGGAGAGGATAGGAGCTCCACAAGGACCAAATATGTCAGGGCACATGGGGTCTTTTATGACTGTTTCTCCAACCAAGGACTATGTATGGATATAACCTAGAACCTCTGCTCGGATGTAGCCCATGGTAGCTCAGTATCCAAGTGGGTTCTCTAACAAGAGAAACAAGGATTATTTCTGACATGCAAACAATTCTTCTTTAAAACTTTCTTTGACCTCCTGCCCCTCCCCCTAAGGGAGGAGCAGCCTTATCAGCCCACAGAGGAAGACAATGCAGCCATTCCTGAAGATACCTGATAAGCTAGGGTCAGATGGAAAGGGAGGAGTACCTCCCCTAGCAGTGGACTTAGAGAGGAGCAGGGAGGAGATGAGGGAAGGAGGATGGGATTAGGATGGAATGACTGAGGGGGCTACAGCTGGGATACAAAGCAAATAAACTGTAATTAATATAAAAAATAAAAATTTAATTAAAAAATTCCCAAAACAAAAGGAAGAAAATGTCTTAAAACTTAGAGATTTTAGTATTTTTTGTTTATTTGTTTGTCTGAATAAAAGTTTAATATCAAAACATTAAAAAAACTTTCTTTGCAACACTGCCTTTCATTATTTTGTTGCATTGTACAAATATTGGACTCATTATTCACATGCATGCACATACATTCACACACAGACACCGGTGGGCTATAGGGCCAGACAGCCTAGTGAGATCAGTTACAGATATCATTGTTGGTTCTGTGTCATATGGTCAATACTAGATCAATATTTACCCTCATATGTAAGGTTAGCAATATCCGTTTAACACAGTGTGTGTAACAAAAATCTTACTTTGGAACAACCCTTGGTAACAGAAGTTCTCTCAATCCAGGATTTCAACTTGCAGGAAATACTGGACCAAGGGTTTTTAGCCTACTCTGTTTCATTTAACACATATAAAATACATCTCTCATGATTTATTTTTTAATTACATACCATAGCTCCAATGATCAACCATTAACAAAACAGTTTGTTTTAGCACAGTTTTACATATATTCCTGAATACCAGGAATGGGGTTTTTCTAATAAACATAGAATTCTTTGCTGGATGGTATGGGCCCATGATAGATTGATGTGTTCAATTTATTTTGAAATAAAATACTGCTATTTATGTTAGAGTCAATGCTCAATCAGTATTGCATTTGCTTACTCTTAAAGATGAATATGCATAATTGAAAAATTCTTCTCTGTACTGGAAATACTGAATTTTTGGCATAATTCCTAAATGTATAAATTATGATATTGATTGATCAAAATACTTCAGTGACTTTTATATTCCTGTGGAAAACAAAAATTAAAATGGAGTATAGATACTCTTTAGTGATGTCCTAGTTAACTCCATAACATTTTTTAAAAGTTCTAGGTTTGAAACACCAAATATTTGCCCTTTTCTCTACTAAGGTGACTGCAAATCTTTCAGATACTTTCCCCATCAAGTGGATGAGATAAACAGTGAAGGCTGCAATATAATTGTGTAGAAAGGAACTCTTGTCAGGGAGTTTGACTGTGATATTTCATTTGACTGGACTGTGTACCTTGAACAGTAGGAGCAAGAAGTTTAGGGCTTCAGACCTAGAAAAAGAGCTGAGGTGTCTATTTTACATACCAAAGTGGACCTGAACTCCAGGCTCTCTCAGTATCCCTCAATCTCTATTTCAGGGCATGGCTGGCATACCAGGCCCTCTATCCTGAACTTTCCAGCCCAGGGGCTGGGCTTCCTCTCCCCCAGTGTCTCTTCACTATAAAAACCCAGACATTTAGGTTCTTTCTCTCTCACTCCTCTCTCTCTTTCAATCTCTCTTGTCTCTTTCTGTGTCTCTCAGTCTCTCTTGCACTTTTGCTCTCTTTCTTAGTCTGCTCCCCTTTGTCTACCTCTGCATGAGGTAGACATGGAACAATGTATCTGCCTGAGATCTGCTCCAAATAAAC